CCAAATAATTTGATAAATTGACTTGAAATTTAATTTATGTTATTTTTTTAGTTTATTTTTTTTTAGATTAATATGGATGTTCAAGTCAGTTTGCATGCATCACGACTAATTCTATAAGTCCTGAAATTAACGATTATATAAATCTTTAGTAATTATCATAAAAATAATTAAATATTTAAATTTCATATGAGCAATCAAAGATTCAAACTTAAAATTATAACTGAAATCATAAAGAGAATAAACTTTTTGATGCTAAAATGATTATTTGATTATTATTTAGATAGTGTTTTTTTTAGTTTATTTGTTTGGACAAGAGTTTCTGTGATGACAGGGATTATAAACTGATAAAAAGGAGAATTGCAGGATGATTTTACGCAATCAAGACAGTGAGCAGGCTGAGCAAGCCAGACATGGATCACCATGAAAGACAAAGCTGAGCTCCGAGGTCAACCAAGAGAGGAGCATTTTGCTTGACAGATAAGGAATACTAAAAGACAATCAAGCGTGAGACATCTCTGCGATGTTTAGTGGCTGACAACTGTACGGCCAAGTCAATCCACAGAATCCCTAGCGTCTGCAATGCTGTTGTAATGGTTCAATTTCTGATCAAATTCAAAGTAAGCAGCTGTGATTTTTTTTTACTGGTTTAATTCTTATTTATAAAAATAATTAAATTAAAATTTTATAAGATATAAAAAAATAAAAATAAAATTAGTTTAAACTAACTGATTTTAATTACAATTTGATTTGATTATTTTTCATTTGGTTTGGTTTTTTTCATATTTATTTTTTTATTGTTTTTAATTTAATTTGGTTTATTTTTTTTTCAAGTTTATAAAACTAAAACTGAACTGAATTAAATATTTTTTAAATTATTTTAGTTTGTTGTTTTTATGGTTTATTTTTTTAATTTAATTAGTTTTTTTCTCACCCCTAACAATAATAACTATGAAAGTTTTTAATAGTGTTTTCTTGTACTTTAATCAACATGCCAAAGCAAAACATATATATATATATATATATATATATATAGACACACACGCTTGCAAAGAACATAAAAAAAGGGTGGTTCATGTTTTATTTATAGTTAATAGAATAAACTAGGAACAACATGAAGGGTTTGCATAGAAACTCAAGATTCCGGATTTGGTTTGGATTAAGTTCCAAGTTTAATAGAAAATTATGTTGGAGTTTTTAAGTTTTTAATAGCCCAGTTGAGACTAAGCGTCTCCAAAAAGTTATGGATTTTTTTACGAAAAATTAATTTTTTTATATTTTTTATATGTTAATATTAAAATGAAATTTTAAAAATTAAAAAATATTATTTAAATAATAAAAAATACTTCTAGTTACAAAAAGATAATGTCAATGTGACATCCTGGACCTAACTTGAGAGCTGGTCTAAAGCATTGTTTGTCTAATCATTGCAGCCATTAACGTTAGATTCTCAACTTCAACCATTTTTTTCAACAAATTCGATGAACATAAACGATGTGAAAGCACAAGGAATCTCTACAGATTACAAGAAGATGAAAAGAATCTGTCTTCCTTTGGGACCATGCCAGCAGCCTCTGTAGCCTCAATGCAAAATTTTACCTCTTTTTTTTTCCAGATATTAAGGTAGTTCTAGACCTGCTGTCTGCACCATCCTAGGAATTTAACTCATCTTCTTACTGCAGAGTATAAGATCACTGGTGTGATTGAAAAATATATAGCATATGGTTTTAATTTAGGAGAAGTTGGTATGGCAACATCGATGGAGAGGCCATACCCTTCTGTGTTCATTCGAAGGAAGCATGGCTTTGATTGGAAGACAATCAGAAGAGAACAAGGTTGCTTATAATTTCTCCTTTGCCTTGTATTTTTTTAAAAAAAGAGGAAGTTTTTCTTTGATAAATCTCAAGAATACAAAAATATATTTAATGTTATTAAACTTATGCTGACTAATTTGGTGAGTAGTCAATTTGAAACTTGATTTGTATTTAATTTTAAATTAAATCAGATAAGAGTTGATCATATTAAAACTTGTTTTTTTAATAATTTAAATTAACTTTTTAATAAAAAATTTAAAATAATATAATTTTAAATTAATTTGAGTGAACTCACCGATTGGTACTTTGGATGTAACAAGGCAAGTATCCTATGCAAGTATATATGAAGGTACAGTGTAACTCTTAAGCAAGATCAAGTATATTTTATTTTGTTTTTTTATTCTTTTTATCAAGTAATAATTACTAATCTTATGGTTGCCGACACATCACACATGCCATACATCTCTGTTTGTGACTAATTACCTAATAATTTCTTTGTTCCTCTCTCTCTCTCTCTCTCTCTCTCTCTTAATTTCTTGAGTATTTGTTGAGCAAATTGAAAACAAGGAATAAAGCAATAAGATTAAGGGTTAGAATATGCTAAAGTGGTTGAGATTATTTGCTGATTTAAAGTTAATTATCAAGAAAGCAAGAAGGTTTGGTTTCTTGACAACACCCATTTGCAATTGTAATCCCTAAGCAAAAAGATTAATAATGTTGATTAGTCAAGAACCCATCTAGAACAAAATCCCGACACCTTCAATTGAATAGATCTCTTCTTCATGATTTTGTTCATGTTACCTTTTTTTTCTTGACATATTTGTTTTCCCGTTGGTCAGGATTTTCATTTAATGCTACTATATTAGGATAATATAGGAAAAATAATAATTTATTAAAAAGGATTTATTTTTTTAAAGTGACTTGGATTTAAATTATCCTATCATAAAAAAAATATGTAATTATATCTCAATATTAGTGAGAATGACATTTAAAAGATATAGTTTGGTTACTGTTTGAAATGAAATAAAAGAGACATAGACAATAAAAAAGAAAAAAAATACATTTTTAATTAAAGAGATAGAAAAAATAAATCTATTTCTGAAATAATTTTAAATAATTTTTTAGATTTTTAAAATAGAAAGTATAGAAAAAACATATCCCCTCTATTTTTATTAATTTCATCTATTCTATTTTGAGATAGTAATTAAACTCTAAGAATTTTTTTTTTACATCATAATCTCAAATTCTAATTTAAAAGAATATGGATGTATTTGTTTGAGTTTTTTTTTTTAAATATAGATAAGCATATTTAAAACCTAATTATAAGAGAATTTATTAATCTCCTTGTTATAAAACCTAGAAACACCTTAAGCTTTAAAAAATGATGATGATGACAAATGGAGAAGTCCCTACCAATTATTTATGGGATGGCACGTTGACCACGCATGGCTAATCTTGTGTTCATTTTGCAGAAACATCACCATCGCCCCCCCACCAGCTGAGGCATACTCTTATTACAGCAGCACTAAAGTTAGGCAATAATGGCCCATTAAATTATTTATACAAATATTTCTTATCAACAATTTAATTATCAAAATAATAATAATAATGATAATCAGTTGTCGTCCTCTTAAAGATTTGAGATCAAATCGCATTAAGGTTTTAGACAAGACAAATCCAAAGGTGGATGAGCCTAATCAATAATCATTTACTTGACATATAGGTATAGATTAAGAAGTAAAATGACATTTTCTTTATTTTTTTGCTCTAATTAACACTCCATCAATTAAATATATAAACCATTGTGAGGTCAAAATAAGACAAAATCTTTCAATAATCTGTAAGATTTTGTTTAAGGCACTGATTATTGTGAATTTATTTTTTTATTAAGTTACTATGCATTATATAAAAAATAAATCTTCATTTCATGTTGTAATTAGAAGTGTGATTAAAAATTCAAAAAAACAAAACAAAATTATTAATTCTACTGGAACTCATTATTAGAGTCCTGAAAGTGTGATTAAAAATTCAAATAGAAAAGCAAAGTTATCAATTCTACTTTAATTTATTATGAGAATCCTAAAATGAACGAGTTAATTTGAGTTAATTAAAATAATATTTTTTAATTTTTTAAAAGATTAAAATGATATTATTTTGAAAAATTTTTGTTTAAAATTAAATAAGTTTAACTAGGTTGTGAGTTGACCTATTAAGTTAATCTTTGAGTTTAATTTTTTTTTTATAAAAATATCCAACTAAAATCCAGAATCAAATAATTTTACTAAGCTCATTATTAAAATCTTGAAATGAACAAGTTAATTCAAGTTAATTAAAATTATATCTTTTTAATTTTTAAAAAAATTAAAACAATGTTGTTTTAAAGATTTTTTATATGAAATTAAATAAATTTAATTGAATTGTGAGTTAACTTATTAAGTCAATTCCTAATTTTAATTTTTTTTTATAAAAATATCCAAGATCGAAAATCCCAAATCAACTTACAACACCAAGTCAAGTTTATTAATTATGATTAAAAAAAAAACACTCACTGAGAAAATCCCTCATTTGTTGTGTAGCATTTTGCTTCAATGTTTGGCATCAAATCAGACATTTATGTTTCTAAAAGCAAATTCACCATAAATTTGCAAGTAATTAACGAAAAACACAGCAAGATAAACGTGAAAGGAAGCTAACACTTAGAACACTACAAAATGAAAGGAATCACGGAAGAAAAGAGGACCACATTGTCAAAAAAATACGCATAGACTTGGACACTGATCGGTTGCATGGTCAGAGATACGGTGCTGCTGGCTACCACCTCTTCAAGGATAGCATGTGAATAATTGTAACTACACCGACTTTCACTTGTGAAACAAATAATTATATACACCTGTATTTACTGTGTATTTGTTATTTTTCTAGAAGAGTTTTTAAAAAGTGATTTTTCAATATTAAAATTAGATTTTTTTATTTTAAATATTAGCATATCAAAATCATCAAGAATTACTTTAAAATAGCATATCAAAATCATCAAGAATTACTTTCAAAAATATATATATATTAACATGTTGTTTTTTAGATAAAAATAATTTTAAAAATATTTTAAAAAATAGAAGTAAATATAATATTAATTTTAATCCATTAATATTGTTTGATAATACGGTACAAGATGTTTTTCAAAAGTAAAAGTAAATGTGGTGGGTGATGTATTCATAATTTTTTTTAGTCTTTGGATTGATATTAGAGTTGATTAATGTATGTCCGTGGTGCAATACCTTTCAAAAAAATTAAATTAAAAATATATTAAATTGATTTTTTTAGATTTATTTTAAATTTTAATATCAGGACATTAAAATTATTGAAAAATATCAATTTGATATTTTTTTCATCTAAAAAGTAATTTGAAAAATATTTTAGAAAGCAAAAAGGTACCCCAGCATCAACATTATATCTTTTATATTCTACAAAATATAACATATCATATTCTTTAAATTTAAATCATTAATTTTAAAATCAACATTTATAATTTTTATTCATATATTTTTATTTTAACAATTGATTTTGAATTCAATAATAAAGATCAAGGAAGATATCGTATCAGATTCTTAGAAGCATAAGAGTAGCTAAATCCAAGATTAGGACTTGGATTTGAACTTCATACTATGTTGTATGATTACTAATGGACTACAAGTTGATTGGTGTGAATAAAAGCCTTTTTTTTCTTTTTATGGAGTCCAACCTTGACAAACTAAGAATCGCCAATCAAGGAAGACAATCTCTCAATAAGAACCCTAATTCTGGTTTTAATTACTGAATAATTCCTCTCGAATAGTCTCTCTCACCAAAAACGATTACAGCTTTTCAAATAGGTTTGAAACCGAAAGAAGAATCAGAATTCTTAAATATATAAGATAAATAAAAATGAAATCCAAAATTAAGGTTGAAAATCCGAAGACGATTGGTCTCCTCTCGATATTTTTTGAGATTGCAGTTCGAGGGTTACATTTTGGGGTGGTGTTTAGACTTGTTCTATTCACATTTACTCCAAGATACACGTGGAAATTTCTGATTCTTTGAATAAACATCTTGATTCTTTCAAGAAGAGGGCTAAATGACAAGAAAAGAAAGAATTATGGACGAGGAGTCTTGATGATGTATTCTACTTCTTCTAATATGGACTAAGTTTCTTGGTTGGGAAGTAATATCCCACGGAAAAATTTTGAAAATATTCAGAATGCCAATCAATGATTTCGTATAACAAAAATGCTTTCTCGTCTAAAAAGCATTCTCTTGTCACTTCTAGCTAGGCCATGGGAGAACATTCAACAAGTAGTCTAGAATAAGCCCTTCTACATCAATAATGCTAACACAATGAGGGAACCGTTTCAGGCCATCTAATCAGCTGTTGAAGATAGCCATACCATTTTCGCGGTTCATTGGCTTTTATAATAACCTGCTGAGGGACTTTATAAGTGCTTTCAAGTTACGTCTTGTAGCCTCATCACCCGTGAATCCCAGAATATCAGAGCTTATATTCTGATATGGTTGAAGAATACACAGAACAGGGATAAAAATAATTAGACAACAGAACTCATGATTTCTGCATTATCAGAAAACGGAGTAAGTTTCAGATTAAGATCTCACCTCAATGTTTTTCAAAGTGAAAATCAAACTGTAAATGGACTTTTGAATCAACTCAGTGTTCTCTGGTGTCATAATGGATGTATGTGCCCTTCTGAGGAAAAAGGAAGGTCTACAATTGTGAGCTAGCGAAAAAAAAGCAAAACCACCACTTTGTTTCTTTTGGGTCATATTTGGATTTTTCATTTAGGTCATCATCATAATTGAATGTCAAAATGGTAAACGTGAGACATCAATAAACATTCTAAATTGAGGGGGGGGGGGTTATAAGGAAAAGTGTTTGGGACAATTTACCTTAAATCCTCAGAAGCTAGTGATAAGTTTCTGGTTAAATCCTCGACTTCCTTTAGCAGGCCACTATCACGAACCTCAGACAGCAAAGGATGAATATCTTCAGTCATGGCTTTAATCTGAGACATCACTACATCAAAATCAAAGTATGCATGGATAAAAGTTAAATGTTGAAAACAAACATGGAACAATTTCAATCACGCAGTAGGCAAAGTACATGCACAGGATACATGCACTACCTTATACCAATCAATGTCCAAATTGCCTGCCTGTCAAAGATCATAAGGCGTATATGACAATAATGCAGGAGATTCAGTGAAATGGAATGAGTTCATCTTTAAGTTTTCTGGTTAGATGAAATGCTGCACTCTCACATTCCATAATGTAGTTCACTCATTTACAGGGTAATTACAAATTAATGGCCAACAACCTTAAACCTGAATAGCATTGCCATTCACAGGATTCTATTTGATCATTCAAATGAACAAGCAAGAAACTAGATGGTTCCTGAACACCTAAACTGTACATGAAGTTCCTTACAGGTTTTACAAACCCAATGCTCAAGTTAAATTCTTCTTTCTTTTCATCAAAATTTTATGAAATGAAATATTATCATCAATTCTGCACATCTTTTGGTCCTAAGGGTGCCCCAGAAAATTCTTTGAACGGATTGGCTCTCATGCAGCATATTTTATTAAGACAATTGAGGTCTGCAGAAATTCCATAAGACAGCAGGTGAAGTTTAACTAGTATGAGAAGAAAGCCTTCACATTCATAAGAACCATGTTGATGATTGCAAAACTGAGACAGTTATTTAATTAAAAAGTGCATTCATGACAATACGTTGTCCATCGAAACTAGAACAAAGCATAAGTAGGGCACATCAAACCTTTGTAAGCAGTGGCTTTGCCTCTTCAATAACAGCAGCAACCCGCTCAGCCAATGAATAGCTCTTGGCAACACCAATTTCCTCTACTTCTCGTCCAATACGAGTGAATATCCCAACCAAGGCATCCAAACTCACTCCTTGATGTCCCTTTAATTTTTGCCTATCACAAACAATTAGACCTTCTTTAACACATTCAGCATCAAGAGGTCCAACAGAAGGTGTTGGTATTGGATCACGAGGAGTGATATCAATCATTGTTTCCATGAGAAGACCGGACTGGTTCACCTCAATCAGTGAATTTTTAGGTATGAAAATTTTATCATCCTCAACCTGAAAAATACAAGGGAACACATTTCACTAAAAACAAAATAAAAAACCTCAGCATTTATATGTCAGGAAGAAACACCAAAAAAAATAAAATCATTAATCTAACCTCCACAACAGCCTCTATACTCTTCAAGGAAGGATTAACGCGGATAACTTCACCAACAGTGACCCCTCTAATCCTAACTCGTGTTCCTGTGCAAATACCGCTAGCTTGAGCAAATTCAAACACAGCCGAGTACTTCCTGAATTTAGAACGCAATATAAATCCCCTCAACCAAGCCAAACTGAGTGCAACAAGCACCGCACCAGACACAAGAAACAACCCAACACCACCTTCCCAAATGCTCCTCCGACCAAACCCAAAATCACTTAACGGCTTCAATGTTTGCCTCCAAATATTACGAGGAACCTCCAAAATAACTGCAAGTGCATTCATTTTCTCCGAAGAAGAGGGTGGTTGTTGGCTATGTCCTGTATCTGCTGACATAGCTCGCACCCCTATGAATTTCTTTTGTGGTCTTGCCGGAAGAAAAGGCAAGAAGTTTGAAGAACTATGAGATACATTAATCAATGATGACGAAGATAGCATAGGAGGACAGTTTGAAACCTGGACTAATGACTTCCCAACCATCTTTCTGCACAATCCCAGCTCAATGAAAGCTTTTATGACAATGCCTCACAACAATGGTACGAGTTGATATCCTCAACAAAGACTTATCCTTTAACCGAGTTTTGAACTAAAATTTACTCTCATAACATTCTTCAGCAGCTGAAATCTCCGCCAGTCCAATTACAGCAACTACAAAACAGAACTTTTATGTGTTTCCCAGAAATAAATAATCAATCATAAATTTTGCAAATTTCTAGTCGAGTTAACAAAAATACCAAAAACAACAAAACAAAGTTCTAGTCTTTAACTCATAGAGAAACCCTTTCTTTTCATTTCCCACATTCTCTCAGTAGCCAAACAGAGATATCCATTCAATTACCAATCTCAAGCACTGATCATTCTCTACATAACTACATCTTCGCCAACCATACATTCAACGTAAGATTCCACTACAAAAGTATAGAATAAATTCTCAATTTGAAAAATCACAAACTGGGTTATTCAAATATCAACCAGTTAAACAAAACCCATGATTCAAAATTTCAACTTTCCTTTACAAGTCAAAGCATTTTCTCAGTCACCAAAGAGTAGTGCACATATTGATAAGAGCAAGGCGGGTATATACACACACAAAATTAAAGAAGGAAAACAACTTACCTTAGAGAGCTGGGTTTTTCTTTTTACTGATATTATAAGAATCTGAAGTGAGAGAGAAAGAGATTGGATCAAAGAGACAAGTGAAGTGTATGTTATTCAAACATGTGGAAAAGGAGAGAAATGTTTGATTCGCATGAAGACTTGTGTTCAAAGTATTCTTTCGCCCTTTTTTATATAAATATATTAAAATATTTTTTTTTATTTTTAAAAATTTATTTTTAATACCAACATTTTAATATAATTTAAATATATAAATAAATAATTTTAAATACATAAATTTTAAAAAACACAATAAATCATTTCGTAAAAGATAAAGGTATATTTATCGAGTTTCTTTCCACTTGAATTGAATCCAAGATTTTATTTTTTTTTCCTTCCAAGAACTATTGACATCAGAACATCCTTTCATTCTCAACCTGCATCAATCCCTGTCAAGACATTCTTGTTTCTTATAAGCTAGGCTAATAAACTTTTCTTTTCTTTTTATTTTTATGTCATTTCAAATAAATATAAAGTATTTTTATAACAAAAAATATTTATGCAACACGGATGATCTCTAAGTTAAATGAAAAATAGTTAAGATTGTTAATTTAATTTATTTCTATATGTATTTTAAACAATATAATTCACTTTAATTATATTATTTAATATTTTATTTCAAACTAATTATAGTAAGTTATCAATTGACTTCAAACTTATTTAAGGATTATTTAGAACTCTCTAATTTGAATTTAATTTTAAAAAATTTAATGAAATTTTATATTTGAAATATGTTTGCATATAAAAAATTAAATTCCAAATATAATTCAATCTTTAAGAATAGAGCAAAAGTAAATTAGAGATCAACCTCTTGATTTGAGAATTTAATACTAAAATTAGCTTCCTCAAAATAATTTTTAAAAATAAAATAAATCAAGTTTTTCATTTTAATACAATAATCAAGTTTTTTATTTTAATACAATGAAATTTAATCAGAGTTTCAATTTTCTTATTATGTAAATATCCGTCTTCATTTTTCTTATTGATGAGATGGTAGAGCTAAAAATTGATTAAAAATTGATTTTTTTAATTAAATTACAATGATATGATAATCATAGAGTTATTATTAATAATTAGTAATTAAAGAGAAATAATAATCATAATACCACAATATTGTGAATCGTGTATCGCTGTAAAAACGAGCAATTACTCTATCCTCCTCTGACAATGAAACATTTTTTAAATTTAATTTATTTTAGAAGGAGGATTTGAAATTGATAAACTCCTAGTTAGTGTAGAAAGCTCATTAACCGAAACTAAAACCCATTAATAGACCATTAAAACTCCATACTCAAAAATACAATTCACTTAAACAGTATAATAATGGTTTTATTTTTAGGTTTCATAGCTTCCGAGAGTATTGAAATCTTTTTATATAATTTATAAAGTATTTTTTTATTTTAATTACATAGTAAAACAACTAGAATATCAGTGGAAGCAAAAAATAAAATAAAATTAAACTTGATGTTTATGAGATATTTTTATAATGATTTTATTATTATTATAATTAAAGCTGAGGGGTATTTTAGTACTTTTAAAAGTATAAAGAATAATAAACAATTTAAATGAATCATAAAACTACAAAAATAACTTTAAAATAAAAAATAAATAATCATGAGATCAAGATGTATTTTAGAATTTTCACAATGGTTTTATTATAATTAGAAAGTCACTGAAGGGTAGGGGTGATATTTTTTATTCGATTCGGTTTTTACATAAAAAATTAACCAAACCAACATCATTAATTTTAAAACAGAAACCGGTTTGAACCGACTGGTTCCAATGCCGTTCGGTTTTTGTTGTTCAAAAATCAGTAAAATCAAAAGCAAATCTCGATACCCAATGCCCACAAACTATAAGCAAATCTGCAAGTAAATCTCGATTTCTGTTATTTAGGAAAACAGATTTGCCCAGTACCCACAAACTACAAGCAAATCTCGATATCTAGTGCCCACAAATTACAATCAAATTTTGGTTTTTATTGTTTTAAAAAATAGATCTGCCCACAAACTCCAAGCAAATTATAATATAATAATAATAATAAAAAAAAACCTACAAGATGCAGAGATGAACTTGAAATGGAGTTAGAATCTTAATCATCAAAAAGTCATTTATTTTTTTATCTGTCTATGTAGTTTGATTAAAGTAAATATTGATGCAAAGGTGAAATTAAAAAGATAGGAGATAGAGAGAAAGGGAGGAGGTGCTACGGGGAGAGATGAGAAACAAAGAGAAAAGGAGTGGAAAAAGAGAAGACACTATAAGAAGATAATAAGATGCACAAAAAATAGAAGGGGATAATGAGAGGGAGAGAAAAGAGGCTGTGAGAAGATGATTGGAGTGGTGTTTGCTGAAAATTAGTTTAGGTCTAGGGTTTTTTTTATTTATATTTGCTTTTTTTTTTTAAGTACTAGTATGGTTGAATCAGTTTGGCTCAGTTTAATTAGTTTCAGAATTTAGAAACCAAAACTGAACTGAACTAGAATTTTTTTGTGATTTTTTAATTAAATAATTTAGTTTTTTTGGTTATTTTTTTCTAGTTTTTCTAATTTAATCGGTTTATTATTTTTTTTGCTCATCTTTACTCAAGGGTAATCCCATCTTTAGCTAAAAAAAAGAGAAGGCATTTGTGTTGCCTTTCAATGTTAAAAAAATATCATTCTACCCTGTCATTAGAAGCGACACTATTTCCTTTTCTGATTGAGATGGTGTATGTCCTTGTTAGTGGTTGGGTTTGATGCCCATGAGTCTTTTTTTTATTTTTTTCTTTCTCATCTTCTAAAAATTATAATTTAACTCCCTTGATTGCAGACATTTCAACTTCAGTATTTATTTTTTTATTTTTTATTTTTTATCTTGATCTTTTTATAGAAATTTTAATTTTTTTAATTTTATTATTCAATCCCAATTTAATAAACATTATATTCTCTAAAGTTAGTTTTCATATTCAATCAATTCGAATTGATGGTATTATTTTTACATTTTGATACTTATTGATTTGATTTCTATTTTTTTTTAATTTTTTACAAATATTTTTTTTAATTTCATCCTTTAATTACAATATTGTTTTTTATGTTAATTATTATCCTCATTCTTTTTAATTCTTTATGTCCTTTTACTACATTATTTGTTTTTTTTTTAAATTTTAGCCATTAATTAAATATAAAATTTATCTTTTATTTTATTTTTTATCATAATTCTTTTAACTATTATTTTTTTAAAAAAAATTATTTATTTTTTTCTATTTCAACCTCCAATATTTGATTGATTTAGAATTAAACTTAATGATTCTTTCAGATTGAGTACTTCAAGTCTAATAATTTAATGGTTTTTTTTAATTAAAAGTTTTATAACCTTTTTTTATTTTTTTATTAGATTATTTAAATCTTATAATTTAAACCTTCAATTTGATGAATTATCTTATATTGACTTAACTATAATCCAACCCCACTGGGAAACGTGAGCACCAAGCCTAATTACCAGTAAATAAAAGATTTAATGGTTATATATTAATATCAATTGAGTTACAATCTATTGATATAGTGCTCTTTATCATCTTGTCACTTCCTTCAAGCTAATATATGGAACCTTGTATCAAGGCAATGATGTTTTCTTAACAAAAAACAAATAACAAGCAAAGGCAGCAAGAACTCCTAGTCGAACCCAAATATTATGATATTATTGGAGAGAATAATATGTTCATCCCAATATTTTTTTAAAACAATTGCCATGTCGTCTAGCCTTTTCTAGGTTGTGTTTATATAGTGGCTAGTAAAATAATATATATATATATATATTTTTAATACATCTAAAAAACACTCAAATATTATGATAAACATGTATATAGCTTTTTTTAATTAAAAAAAAACCATATACAAACCCAAAATAATTTTTTTTCTAAACTTATATATAGTTTTAGACTATTTCAAAATAAAAAATAAACTTAAATATAATTTCTAAGACAATTTCAAAGTTAAAAAGCACTAAAATAGACCTTTTTTAATCAAATAAAACCTTTTGATATTAAATCAAAATCATTGTCAATTTTCAACTTTTATTACCGGAATTCAACATTCTTTCTTTTTTCACACGAACCAGAAACTAAAAACTAAAAAATTAAAAATATAAGCTTTTATATTAAAATGAAACCCAAAACTATTGATGGACCAAATAGATATAATTTATAAAATTTAAAGACTAAAATGAACTTTTTATAATAATTTTAAAAACACCACCTGCATGTCACATCTTTTCGATCATTTTAGTCCTGATAAACAAATTTAATTTAATTATCCTGAAATTTAACCCAAAAAAATGCAATTACGCTAAAAGAAATTTAGAATCCAAATAAAATTCTTTTTTGAACATTAAAGTTTTAGCCACGACGTTTAGAGTTTTGTATAATAGCAAGTTATAACCCAAAATTGACATTCGCACAGAAGAGTATCACCCCAGATTAAAAATGGTGAAGCAGTTGAAACATCACCTCTGTGTGAAGCACTTGAAACATGGAACTAATGATGGAACAAAATTGAAAGAAAAAACTACAAACGTTTGGAAAAATCTCGACATTAACTACCAAATGATCCACAGAAACTTCATCATAATGAAGCACCAAGCCAAAATTCAATACTGAGTATTTTAACCATGAAAATAGAACACGAAATAGGAAAATTCTTGTTCATATCTCCTAGAATCAGCCCACAAGCTTGGATCATACTGCTATCTTTCACAGATCTTGAACACTCAAACCTGCAGTGGCAGAAAATAACAGGATGTAATTAGAGAAACAGACTACCTATCATCAACAAATGGAAGAAACAACAATAAAAGTATCTGGCTATCTTGAGATAATAATGGACGCAGAAGCATACATGCCTGGTTTTTTTTAGGACTATCTCTTCAAGTCCTTTATTTTTGGTTATTCTATCTACAGATTTTAGGCTGTGTATTTCATAGTCATAGTACTAGGAGAAGCATGGAACAATGAATCACTGTGAACAATAACTTCTCAAGGAAGATTTTTTGATAATTGACCTGGAGGAAGAGATTGTTTCAACTTGTCTGCCTTCTCAGGGTCAAAGACACAAAGAGTGTAGAGGTACTTTGAGCAGCGAACTTTGAACTTGACCACATCTCTGCTCCTCTTGATCTTCACAGAGCGTGCGTCTTTCCTTCTGGCAGTAAGAAGGAAATCCTTGATCTCGTGGATTTGCTTAGGCTGTGTATCAAAACAAAGATAAATATAATACTAATAAACAAAGGACAACAAACAAGGAAGAAATGACTGAACACATCAACAAATAAAAAGGTGTATCAAATCAAATATCATCGAGTGACATGATTGACAACACTAGATTAAGTACATCCAACACTCTTGAAACCATTCACAAAAACCAGAAGAAATCACTCAAATATCTTTCAATGTAGAAGAATGGAGAAAATCACCAATTAAAAATAACAGGAGAGAAGAGGTCTGCCTATGGCTTAGGAGCAATTCTTCCTTTTTATAAGAAATAACAGGACCACAAAACCATTCATGGAAACAAAAATAACAAGGCAACAAATGTACTCAAATTACCTTAAGACTACACCCTGTTTTTCTATCTCCATTTCCAGGCTCTCCTTATCTTCTTCAAAAATAGACAACTTCCACTCACTATCTAATTAGTAACCACCCTGGGTTTCAAGAAATTGCACCTTAGACTACATTGTCTTCCCAGTTCCACCCCAGTTCCCACCAGTTTTACTTCCCTCAGTAAAACACTAAAAAGATAGCATAAGTAACTACCCTCAATAATCACAGAGAAAAATCTGCTTTAAAACCTACCTGACGATAGACAAAGCTAAGAGTACAAAAATGAAAAAATTTCCAAATACATACCACCTAATATCACTTTCTTTTCCACACATACAGCTACTATTCACATTAACTAGTCACCAACTTCCTTCTCTTCAGAACCAACTACAACTTTAATTTTTCTTGGTTCCATCCCTCACACTTGTAAAAATCAAGAACCCAACAAACAAGCCTAAACAAAATGATTAGAAAGTCCAAAACTTACTCATGTTCTTAACCCAAGTTTCAATCTTTCAAAATTCTCACTGTATAAAAAAACAATCTTTCAAAGTTTTACCATTAAAAACACAGATAGCAAGAAGAAAGATGACCATTAAAGACACAGCATCCTTAAAAATAAAAACACAGATGAACCCATCCTTCTGTCTAACAACCAGGAGACATGATCTCTGCAATAACAAAGCAAAAAAACAAGAGATATGGAGAGAGGTTAAAAGGGTATTACCATTTTGAGTTTTCAGAGTCTCTGAGAGCTCTTCTTCTTTGCCGAAGTCTCAGCACTCGCCAAACCCTAGCTCTGTTAAGGTGGAGAGATATAACTATATATATATGGTGAGTGACAAATTTACAATTATCGCTTGCCTTTAAACCCTAGAAAATTTATTGTCCTTGTGGACTGTTTTGGCCCTGTATAGTTGATTTTATTACGCCAGTGTTTATACTTTCGGGCTTCTAACTTACGAGGCCTATGAAGTCTGACCCAAAGGCTTGAAGTAGTTGAATTGTAGGCCCAAACTTAACAATAAATAACATTACGAGATATTGAGTAGGGATCCGACGGAAACCGGTTCTGATCCGCTCCAAATATCTTAATTTTACCCGACCAGATAGAGATTAAGGGGAGGATGGGCTTTTGTGCCCTAATCTATATCCATGCATTTTTTTAATTTTTTAAAATCATATTATACGTATTAAAAATATAAATATTGATTGATAATATCATTGTCTAAGAAATAAAAAAAAAAGAGTTGAATCAGAAAATCCAGACCAATAAAAACTTACAATGGAATTAAAAAAAAGGAGAGAATTTATATATAACTATTCTTAAAATATAATACATGAAAAAAAGAAATTAAAAGATTTACAAAAATTGATATTTGAAAAAAAATCTTAGATTTTTAATCCTTTACTAAAACTTAACATGAATCCCCAAGTGCTCATAAGCATGTTTTTTGTCAAATATTTTGAAATTCTTATAATATTATTAGCTTTTACTTTATCTATATACTATGATATTATTAGCTTCTTTTATAGTTAGGAGGATAGCAGGAAGGATAAGATCATGTGTGTCATTTTTCTCTTGTTTTGGTGATGTGGTATACTTGTCTAATCAAATGCATATGTACAAAATTGCAATTTGTTACCATGCATGCGTCCCTTTTTATCATGTATGCTTTTTAATTATTTTTAAAGATAGTTTAAAGCTTTTAAGCTTTATAATAAATTTAACTTCGAGTTAATTTTTTCGATCATTTTAAAACTTAATTTGATTTTAAAATTTTTACTTTTTAAATTTTAAAAATTAAAATAATATTATTTTAATAAACCTATTCAATTTATGACATGAGTTCTAGTAAAAGATTAAATGATATAAATTATATTGCATTTGAGGTTATAGCCTAGTGGTCATGGGAGGGATTTATTTCTTTTTTCCAACACTCGGATTTGACTTTTTATATATATATATTTATTATCTCCGCAATGACTTACTTTTTTATTGGATTTGCAGGGTGTTTAATGAATCTAAAGATTAGTCATGATATATATAAACTAGTTCAGACACCCCGAATTAAAAGAAAAAAGGGATAAATCATATTTAATAACTTTGCTTCTTCTAAATGAATATAAATAGTGTGAAGTGATAGAAATCTAGAGGCAAATAATTGCAATATTTTTTTTTCTATTTATTCACGATACAAATGAATATGAATATATGTGAAGTGATAGAAATGTAGGCCAATAACTGCAACATATTTTCCTATTTATCCATGAAATATAGATGGATGTCTTCTAACCTTCACTTCGGATTAATTTGGTGAATGATTGTGAAAAAATATCTTTGAAAACATCTCTTTTGACAAGAGATAGGTAGTGGTCCGTGCGGGGGCTAGATTTGAAAAAAGATTGGACATTCATTCACATCAACAACTTTTTTATTTTGGTGGATTCAATAATCGATATATTTTAAGTGAATTTCCATATTTATAAAAAAAAATATATGACATTGAATATTTACTATAGCATAAAAAAATCACTATAAATGATAATAATAACATAATATTTTTAGCCTTCCTCAATTAAGGTTAAAAAACTAAATTTAGAGGTAAGATAGTTTTTTTCATATGATTTATTTATCATTATATTTTTGTGAAAACTAAATTTAGAGGTTAAAAACAAATGTATTTTCATCTTTTTTTAACATTGAAAAACCTTTATTGTTCTTAAAAGAAAACATTTTTATATTTGGTTGCTAGGTTTTTTTTTTTTTTTGAGATTTCATGTGTTTTTTACACAATTTAATTACTGACTTACCCTTTATACCAGAATTAATTAAGCCTTGTTTTGGAAGCATTTCATATTTTCATTATTCTACAGTCAAATCATGAAACTAACTTTCATCTCATAATTAATTTAGGGACAATTAATTTTATGTTTTCACATGATTTTTTAGTTATAAGCAGCTTAATAAAGAGTTAAATTGGTCTTTTAAAGTAATTTAAAAATAAAAGCTCTCATATGTGAGGGAGAGGTTGCCATGCTTTGACGGCTCGTGCACCATTATACGATTATTAAACTGTTTTTTAAGCATGTTGCTTTTTGATAAATAAATTGTCGCTGCATAAGCTTTTTTTTTTTTTTGTCTCTTCTCTCCGTTAAAATTCGTGTCTGACATTTAAAATTTTAAGACGATCCCCTTGGTTGTGTATATATGCATATCAGTCCTCATTATTTTGATTTGTTAATTTCTATAACTAGTCTTTTAATATTTTTTTTTTTTTTTTCAATTTCACTCTTCAATCTAGAATTTTCATATTTTAATTTTTCAAATCTGGCTGGTCCTTTTTTTATTCATTTTTTCTTGCTTTTTTTTTTGTAAATTTTTAATTGATTTCAATCTTATCCTTTAATCAAGATTTTTATTTTTTTGGTGGTTTTTCCTTTTAATTATTTTTTGGAATTTATTTTTCTTTTTAATTTATCCCTTTAATTCAAAAGTATCCATATTTTTAAAAAAAAATTTAATCCTTATTCTTTTAATTTTTAATTTTTTATAATTTTTTTCAATTTAATTCTTCATCAATTTATTTTTTAAAACTTGAGAATTATGGTTTTTTTGAATTTAGTGTCTCTATTCAAATGGTCTGAGTCACGAGTTTTATAATATGGCTTGGATTCCCTTGTTTTTTTAGAATTGTTTTCTTTTATAGTCTCATTACTCAATGTTGGAATTTTTTTTTTTAAATAGGCTTCATGGTTTTTTTATTTTTTATTTTATAAATTTACCATGATCTCATGATTTGACCTATAGAGTTGATGAGTAAACCTAGGTGGTTCACACCTTTTTTTACCTTTTGATAATTAATTCATTTTGTGTATTGATTTTTTTATTTTATCTCTTAATATTTAATTTATTGAGAATTGATCTTTGTGGTTTTTTTTATATATGATACTTTCAATCAAATAGTTTGGAATACGAGTTTTAAAAGACAACAAGGGTTGTCATCATTATTTTTACTTATTTTTATCCTTTATCATAATTCAACATTAGTTTTTTTTTAATTAGATTTTGTAATTTTCTTAATTTTTATTTTGTTTTAGGGTTATCCTGATCTCAAAACCTAACTCTTGGGTTTGGTGAGTTGACCCGGGTGGGCTTAAGCTTTTTATGGCTTATAATTACTATTTTTCTAATCTTTTTTTTATCTCATGATTCAACATTGTTTTTTTAATATAAAAAAATTAGGCTTTTTTATTTTCTTCATTTTACTTTTTATTGGGTTATCCTAATTTCATTACTTGACCTATAGGTTAGGCGGGTTGGCCCAAATAGCCCAGGTTTTTTTTTTAACTTGTAATTACTATTTTTTTCTTTTGTATGTTTCATTTTTTTCAACATTTGATTAGTTGAAAATTGGACTTCAAGGTTTTCAAAGTTTATTACTTTAGTTTAAATGACTCAGGTCACGATAGGGCTGAACATTTTTTGTTCGATCCAGTTTTGAATAAAAATAATCAATTAAACTGATTTTTTTTAGTTTTTGAACCAAACCAAACTGAAAACCAGTTCAAATTCATTAATTTCAGTTCAATTCGGTTTGGTTTGTTTCCCTTCCAAACCGGTTCAAACCGAAATTATTGACCATATTTTCCAGCACTTTTATTTTTGAAAATGAACAAACATAGTGCAAGGGATTTGCGAGATGACCCTTGAGCAATGGATTGAATCCCCATCAAAGGATCTTGAAACCCTTAAGCATATCCTTGAAGCCCTCCAACTCAAAGGTTTTTTGCATTCCAAGAAGCCTACAAAATCAAACTAACAAAAGAAACTTCGTTTACAAAGAAACTCCAGTAGTTCTAATGAAGCCAACTTCAATGAACCGGCCAGATGAAAGAATCATCAACAATTCGCATCTAATATGGCAAGTTTGAGAGATGAGAGACAAAGAGCATTGAAGATTGGAAGAAAAGAAGACAGAATTATGGGAGTCAATATTTAGGATGGTTAGAAAGCCAGTCTATAAGACTATGAGTTGCTCCACCTTTCAACACTGTAAATTCATTCCATTCACAAAGCAAAGACTACTAGAAGAGCTCAAGCTAAAGTTTAGGGCATGTCCTTGAGATGAGTGTTTGACTTCCTTCTTAAAAGGCTTAAATAAAAGTTAAAAAAAGTTTGATTTTTATTTTAAAGTGGTCAGGTAGAAAGAAGTGAAATTAATATTGAATCATGTTAGATCCTTGTTTAAAAAAGAATATCATATGTCCAGGAAGTGAAGATTTGAGAACATAAAAGATTTGAGAGATGAGAGACATAAAGGGGGCATCTAATGGGCTGAGAATACATTTAGGTTTAGGGTTAGAAACTATTTATACTTTTTTTTTTAAGTGCTGACCTAGCTAAACTGGTTTGGTTTAGTTTGATCTAATCAGTTTCAGACTTTAAAAACCAAAACCGAACCAAACCGAAATTTTTTTGTGATTTTCTAATTAATTAATTTGATTTTTTTATTTTCTTGATTTAATCGATTATTCAATTTTTTTGCTCACTCTTAGGTCACGAGCTTAATGTATTAACACAGGTTAACATCATTTTGTTTTTGCTTATTTTCTTTTATTATTTTCATAGTTCAACATTATTTTTTCCCTTCTTTAAAATGAGTTTTTGTTGGCTAAACATCATTTTTTTCTTCTAACTTTTTATTCAACTTGCGATAA